TAGTAACCGATTAGTTTTTTTTTATGACAGGGAGGAAGAGGAGGACGCCTCCCTCCTCACGACTGGAGGAGATTGAGGAGCTCCTCTGTCAGGCCCTGAGGAGGCAGCAGACTCCCCCTCCACCACCACCACCCACATCTCGCTATACCGAGGAGGAGCATTTCCTCCTAGGCCTGGCTCCTTCCCTCGCGAGGCTGTCACCCCAGGCTAAGGAGCAAGTGAAATTTCAAATTTATAAATTAATTTTTGAAGCTCAGGATTTCACACTGAATTTGGAACCAGTGGAACCTTAGCTGGGGTGACAGCCTCGGGGGGGAACGAGCCAGGCCCCTCTGTTTCAGCCATGCCCCCCCCCATCCAACTTGTAAATTTGTGTATATAGTTGAAATTTTTTATTGTATTATATTTTTATATCTGCTGTTGCAGCCATTCAAAAATTTGTTTTATTTGTTGTTATAAAAAGTATTATTATTGTTACATTATTATTGTTATATTTGTTGTTATAAATATTATTATAAAGTTTTCTCAACTTTGCCTTGTTTCCTTCTTTAACATGCAGTCATGAAGTAAAATAACTAGGTTGCAGTGCTTCGATGTATAAACTTTACTTAACCCTTGTGCACCCCTTAAAATGTAATGACACCGTTACTGTTGTCTGGGCTAACAAATTAATAATAATAATACTGATCTTGTTGAATGATATGGACTTATTGGGTCTGAAATAAAGTTAGTAAATAGATAGTTAGATAGATAGTAATTTCAGCATGTAGGTAATCTGTGTTTGAAATATTACCATCTTGATCATGTCATGTTGACAATAGTTTGTTGACACAAAAGAAATGGCAATTGCATATCACTTTCACCTACACAGGACACTCGTTAGCTTTCAATTAGTACTTAGTTTTTTCACTTTACATTAATTTCCATATTGTATAAGGGACTGGAAAAAAAATTGAGCCCCTGCCCCTGTATAATCATGTGCATGTCCCTGTACTGGCTCCAAGGTTAATCTTCACTGCTCATGTTGTCCTCAGAAGCACTCACCTCACTCCCCTCAGGTGACTGTACATGCAGCAACTGCCTGCTTCAGGTTTAGATGGCGCTTCATGGTTGTGTTTTGGAGAAATGACCAGCCAAGTTGTGTTAAAAATTTAAATTTTCCTAGGGCAAAAGGAAGCCTCCGCATTCCTATCGGATATGTAAATAGCATGTTTTTGCAGGTGCATAAAAAGGGTCTGTGTGTGTGTGTGTGTGTGTGTGTATCTTGCAGTACTCTGAGCAGAATGAGAGGCAGGACACAGACACAGTTATGGAGACATTCTTGTACATATATGTAGGACATTTGCTCAACAGTTGTTTGTGGTGGCTCTGAAAAGAACCGTTGTGGGGGTGCAGTGCACTAGATGGAATCCTGCCATGAGACCGCTCCTTCAGCTGAGAAGTGCTCGGTGAAGGACTGCCTGACTGCGATGGCCTCCCGGGACGGGTTGTTTGAAGCGACACGTCCCAGCCCTGCCTGAGGCTCCTCACCACCTGTGATGGCACCCAACCCCATGGCAGCTTCAGGCTGAGACCTTCGCAGGAAGTTATGAAGGACACAGGTGGCCTTCACACACTTCTCTGCAACATCTGGAGAAACCTCAAGGGCACGTCGGTACATCCTCCACTGAGTGGAAAGAATGCCGAAGGCATCTTCAACCACCAGCCGCGCCCTGGACAGCCGGTAGTTGAAAATGCGCTTCTCTCTGGGGAGGATGCGCCCTGGATACGGCCTCATGAGGTTTCTCCGGAGCGGGAAGGCCTCATCTGCAACAAACACATGAGGTTGGGGTCCCCTGTGTTCAGCTTCAGGCAGTGACCGATCCGGAGGCAGCTCGAGGGAGCCAGAACGTAGGGCCTGACCAAACGCAGAGTTGGCCAGAATCCCCCCGTCACTGGTCCTCCCGAAGCCTCCGACATCGATCACTCGGAAGCAATAATTGGCATCTACAACTGCCAAGAGAACAATAGAAAATGTTCCCTTGTAGTTATAGAACTGTGATCCTGAATTGGCAGGAGCCTTCAGAACCACGTGCTTCCCATCCACTGCACCACAACACAAGGGGAAGTTCCACCGCTCCTCAAAACCTTGTGCTATGGATCTCCACTCATCACAGGTGGGCACAGCCATGAAGTCCTCCACCAAGCACTCCCAGATGCAGGACACGGTGTCTGCCACGATGCCCGACACGGTGGAAACTCCAACCCGGAAGCTGTATGCGATGGTCCTGAAGGAGTCTCCAGTAGCCAGGAACCTAAAGCACATAAAAATTAATTTCATTACAAATTTTATTTAAAATATGAGGCCATATGAAATAGAAACGTAACCGAAGATTTGAGTGTCCATAAATCCTCTTTGACACAAACATTTATGCTAGCACCCAGTGTATCTGGTCATTTTAAAGTAATTGATTTCCAGGAAATTTTTTTACAGTATGTATTGAATGTGTTAAGGGTTAATTTTTTTCAGTGTAACTTCTTACTTTACTGAGTGGATCAAATAAAGGACACAGACCAATCCTGTTTACTTCTTCAGCAGCACCTTATCAGTCTGATCAGATAGGATTATTTTCACAGGAGTTATATTATCTGTCTTTAGTAAATTGATCAGATTCACAGAATTTCTAAATCACATTAGTGTGTGCAAGAGAAGTTTTATTTTGACTGGATATTAAAAGGACAGAGGCAAAGAGCAGCTCACAGGAGGAACTCAGTGTACAGAAAGCTGATAAACTTTGCAGTTTTGCCTTATTTGCCCAGTGTATCTGCTCATTTTAAATTATTTATACTTGATTATACTCACCGCAGACAGATAGACAGGCGCTCCGAAGCTGGAATGGAGCGCCTGTAGTTGGTGTCCTGGCAGAGACTAATAATGGGAGTGTGCTAAATAACCTTGCAAGATTAACGAAGACAGGGCCCATATCTTCTTAACGGTAAGACAATGTGTAAATTAGTGACTAATGTGAACGTCTAGCTCAAAAAAGGATAGTCGAATTCGGGGTGGGGAAAGAAAAAAGTGAGGAGTAAAACCCGGAGCCCAGGGTAATTGGCAAATAAATGATAAAAAGAGATAAAGAGTAAAAGAGAAAAAGGCTGAGATGGCCTAGGCTGAGATGGCCGAAACAGAGAAAAAGGCTGAGATGGCCGAAACAGAGAAAAAGGCTGAGATGGCCTCGGCTGAGATGGCCGAAAAAGAGAAAAAGGCTGAGATGGCCTAGGCTGAGATGGCCGAAAAAGAGAAAAAGTTAACTTAATGTTAGGGAAGTCGTGATTGGGCATAACAAACCGGTAAGGACAGTTTAAAGAAAAAAAATTAAGTTAACTTAAAGTTAGGGAAGCCGTGATTGGGCATAACAAACCGGTAAGGACAGTTTAAAGAAGAAAAAAGGCCTATATACTACTATAGTAAGGAAACATTGAGCTCAGTGAGACGAGGTGTGCTGAAGTTTGAGTGTGTGATAGAAGCTTCTTGTGTGTGTGTGAGAGGAGTGTGTATATGGGTGCTGAGCTGTGAGTGTGAGTGCAAAAGAGTCTGTGTGCAGTGAGTGGTGTGTGCACAAAGTTGGGGAATGGTCTAGCATAAATATAAGTGATTAACTTATGATAAAGTGATAAATGATGTCTTATTTAATATATAATGATATGATATAAGAAATTAACATATAAAGGGAAGAGATACTGTTGCCTTTGTAATGTTAAAAAATATATGAGCCCTGTTTTTCTTTGTACAGGGACATTAATAGAATAAGTAACTGCTATGAGCCTCTCAGGTGTACAAATGTCCTCTTTATCCTAATAATAAGAAATGAGCCCCTTATTAGATGAGGAGGACTTTGGATGGTGATAATATCCTCGATTAAAATGGCAATTAAAGAAGTGTAAAGACCAGCAAGCACATTTGTCTTCGTACAGATACAGGGAAAAACATAGTAAGAGAGTGGGGTAAAAAGGAATGATTTGCTAACTGATGGGTGTGGTTTTCCTCTGTGTGTGTGTGTGTGTGTGTGTGTGTGTGTGTGTGTGTGTGTGAATATTTAAAGTGAATGGTCACTTGCTGATGATTATGTTTAGAGGGAAGTCCTAGTTAAAAGTTAGGAGAATCCAGGGAGCTTTTACTCCCCCTTTCTTTCTCTTCTTACAGGCCTGAGAACAGAAAGAAAGCTAAAAAATCTAGTTTAACTATCCTAGTTGTGTGAAAATTTTAAATGGTGTACCATGGTAAAGGGGAATGGTGTATAATAAATTTTAGTAGTAGAAGAAATCCTTAAATAGTGGTAGTAAAACGTTTAAATTGTATTGAATGAAGTGATTGCAATGTACTAAGCATTTGATTTGTCTTTTGTCCTTAACACTGATGCATGAGAGGGGAGAAGAGAATGGAATGCTGATGCTGGAGCTCCCATGAGACAGATAAGAAGATAATTGGCTGTGCTGCAAACAAGAGGGGGCTTGCGGATGAGAGGCTCACCAGGACCTGCTCCCATTTGACAGGCCAGTACAGTTTTATCTACAAACTCTTCTCCTATGTGTCTGCTGCTACTTAGTTGTACATACACATAGTTATAGTGAGAACACATTTAGTTGGGTGTCTACATTTGGTAGTGCTAGACAATAAAAGCAGTAGTTTTGTTGGTAAAAAGAAAGGCTTGGCAATAGACTGACCAGTTGAAAGGGCTGATTAAGTACCGGATTATTGTTGAATTAAAAGAGCATTTCCAAGAGGTCTAAATTTTGCTGAAGCTTGTGGATGTGATTTGTCATTGCTGCTTGGTAAAATCACGCAAATTGATCTTTTTTGGGTGTTGATAAGTTGTAAGTCTCTGGGGCTGGCAGATTTCTTTGGCTTGTCTAGTTTTAAGAAAAATTAGCTAAACAGCGCTGTGAATAACGTGTTTGGTCATCTGTTGGTGTTTTTGATTCCTATGAAAACATTTAAAGGCAGTAGCACAATGCCAAAGATGGACGTTAAAGGTTTGAAAGCTATCACTCCAGTTGATGTAGTGATAAAGAGTAATCCACTTGTTATGGGTATCGAAAAGATGTCTAAGAAATGGAGTAAGAGGTGGCCTGACATTGACCAGCCTTGGCCAGTGGAAGGTACCCTTAATCCTGAAGTGGTTAAAACAATGCACGTGCTAGTGTCCACCAATAAGGCAGAGCAAAAGAAAGGAAAGAAGGGAAAGAAACGGCAAGAAAAGAGACAGAGAGAGCTTAACATTTTGCACTTGTTTGAGCAGGAGGGGCAGAAGATGCTAAAAGCCGATAAGGAGAGAAAGGACAGGATTGTAGAAGAAATAAACAAAAATGTTAAATCAACAGAAAAATTGATGGCAGAAGTGAATAAACCTCTCACACACGACCCCAGTGAAGAGCCCCCCACCGTATGAGAAAGAGATAAGGTACACTGATGTCTATCCTCAGCTCCTCGTGATTAAACGGGAGGGCGTGTATCACATCAAAGATGAGGAGGAGCAGATGATAGAGACAGGAACAGCTAAAACAACTATAAAGATGTACCCAAGCAGTAAGAGTAAAAAGAAAACAGGTCATCCAGCAGCTAGGGGTGAACAAAAATACAGAAAAATAGAAATGGGAGATGATAGTCAGAGTGATTCAGAAGAGGCTATTGGAGGCTATGACCCAGCAGTTAGAAACATATTAGCCAGAGCAGAGAAAAGAGGAGGAAAATCACTGAGGAAAAAAGAGCCAGTCAAAGACACCTCAGAGGAGAGTGAAGATAATGATAGGGATGAAGAATCAGACAGTGAAGAGTCTTCATATTCCCTTTGGTCAACACCAAGGACTGAAGCTGAGGAGAGGCACAAGGCTTTGAGAAGGATTGAGAAACGCATCGATAAATGCTATGGCAACCTAAGTAGTGCTACCAGTCCTGAAAAACATAGAGAATTGAGGGAAGAATTAGAAGAGCTACAAATAATAAAAAATGACTTGAAGAAAAAAGGAGTTGAAAAGCCATCCACTTCAGGGTACTCCTTACGCCCAAGAAAAGGGGATAAGCCAGCTGGGAAAATGTGTCCAGTTATTGTTCAGGGACAGAAGTTGGAGTACAAGCCTCTGCAAAATACAGACATGTCAGACATTCTTGAAAAGTTACCTACTCTTCAGGAAGGAGCTCACCCTTGGATTTCCAAGTTAGAAGAAATTATGGTGGGATGGCAGCCTGCTATGGGAGACATCAAAAGACTCCTAGCCAGCATTTTAGGGGTCCCAGCTATGGAAGAGATCTTGCAGAGAGCAGGGCTTAACCGGTATGCAGGGACTGCGGTAAATGACCCAGAACTGTTTGCTGCATGTAGAGCTCGGATGTGGAGATCACTGAGAGATGTATTTCCAACAAATGTACATCCAGATAACATTATAATTGAACCACTAGGACCACAAAAGAATCCAAGAGTTTATGTATCAAAAGCTCATCAAATTTGGAGAAATGTTACAGGAAACGATCCAGACATGCACCAAATGGAGTAGTCTATTTTGCGAGCCAAAATACAAAAAGGGTTGCCCCAGCCAGTGAGAAGCAAATTAGCAGAGGTAGTTGGGCTTGGTAGCATGACAAAAGGGGTATACACAGACCATATAGCACATCAAGTAGAGTTGTACAGGAAAAAAGAAAATGAGCAGAGAGAACAGGATCAGGAGATTTTGAGAAAGCTTAACCAAATACAGCTGGGAGATACCAAAAAGAAGGAGAAAAAGCAAGCTGTGGTTATGCAGAGTCAATCTCAATCAGAGCAAGCAACAATGCAACTGCAACAGGAGCAGATTCAGTGTCGACCACCCCAGCTGATGCAAGCAGCACCTGGTGGTCCATATGCACAACCAGCCTTGGGGCAGTTGCAGACAGGGAGAGGACAAGGCAGAGGAACATTAGGAAGAGGACAAGGGCGAAATTTTTATCCATATATTCAGATGAGCTCTGAAATATGTTATAGGTGTGGACAGCTAGGTCATTATGCATGTGAATGTTGCTGGATAGGAGGAAAGTTTTTCAGAGGAGGTCTCAGGGGAGGCTTCAGGAGAAGCACTAGGGGACAATCGCGCCCACCCAGAGGACCTGTAAACCCTGATAGGGGGTCAGAACCTGGATTTTAGGGGTGCCCAGAAGACCTAAAAGGGGGGTGTCAGCTGGTAGTGTCAGGGCCAGTACAAGAGCCAACCATTGAGGTGAAAGTGAATGATAAACCATTAACAGTTATGGCAGATTGCGGAGCTGCTTTCACCTGTGTTAGGCCCAAAGATGCTATACATCTCCCCATGTCTGGCCAATTGGTACGGACAATAGGTTTTGAGGGTGTGAAACAGCGGATACCTCTTACAGAACCCGTTGAGCTCTGCTATAAAAATCAAAAGACCACAATACTGATACTAGTGTCAGAACAAACAACTATTGCACTTTTGGGCAGAGATGCTTTGTGTAGGTTGAAGTGCACAATACGATGCACACCAGACGGCTGTCTGGTGGATGTACCAAGTGATAGTTGGCAACAACTATTTATGAAAACAGAGACTGAAGCATCTGCAGTGTTTTGGATTGGGAACCTTAGCCAGGAGTTGCTAGAGCCAGCAAAGCTGTGGGAGAAATTTATTGTGGCCAATATGACTGAGGTGAAGTTACCTGAGTATCCATACCACTGTACACTGAAGTATTTTAAAGATGCTACACAGACCAACTCAGCAGACTGGTTGAAGCAACAACCAAAACAAGTCCAGCTTAGCTCCAGTTCAATAATTTGGGGCCACAAGGAGCAACTATGAAGATAGAGAGTAATGAATATCTTGAAAAAGAACATGACATCGAAGAAAGCATTCCTCACGTGACTTTGATGGTAGCTGAGACCTATGAACAGAAGCATATAGGCTCAATGATGGCAGAAGCAGAGAAAGCTATTTTCACACCAGTTACGGAAAATCCTGCTATTTGGGTGAGTGAGGATCAGCAGTTCATAAGGATTGTTATCTCTGCTCACGGACAGGGTCAACCACAAGCTGTACAGATGACACATGAGTCAATTTGCAGTGCTAAACTTGACTCAGACGCCATGAAAGAAGACATGCTACAACACGTGCCAGAACATCTGTGGTTTAAGAAAACAGATGGGTCTCCTATACAGCATCATGCCCAGATAACCAAATTGCTGCATGGAATGATGAAGCCGAAAGAAATAGCAATAGCTAAGTGTGCAGCACATAAAGGGGACATGTCAAGAGTAACTCAGGGCAACAGAGCAGCTGATGATGCTGCAAAAGCTGTTACAGGGGCAGATAAAGAAGGCAAAGTTCTTCTGGTCACTCATGAAGTAGACTTGGAAGATAAAATCACCCTCAAAGACATAGTCTGAATGCAAGAAGCGGCCTCTGAAATAGACAAACAGTTGTGGTGTGACCGATGTGCGACAGAGGATACCACAGGATTGTGGAGGAATCATGAAGGGCTGATGGTGGCACCTCCAGACCTACTTGGATTAATGATTCAGGAGGCACATGGGTTAGCACATGTTGCAAGGGGGGAAGTTACAAGAAACATCATAAAGGAATAGGTTTTTGGACACCACAAATTTTTGATTATATCATAAGTAGATGTACAATGTGTCTAAAAAATAATGTTCGAAGGTGTAATAGTTGAAGATTGTCTAACCAAGCGAAAAGATGCTCAGTATGTTGCCAAGTTCTTGTGTAGGGAGGTCATAAGCAGATGGGGACTTTCAGAGTAAATACTCGAAGATAATGGAGAAGAGTGTGTGGATAAAACAGTGAAACTGATTTGAAAGACTAAGAATTGAACAACGGTTGGGAGCTGTGTACCATCCGCAAAGCCAAGGTATCTGTGAAAAAAAATGAATGGGGTGATGAAAAACCCTCTGGGTAAGATTGGCCATCACACAGGTTAACATTTGATGTCATAAAGGGGGATATTAATTAGGGGGAAATATGATAAACATTTCAAACAAAAAAAATTTATGTTTTTGGCAAGATACTGCTTAATTTTTTCATTCTCAGGACAGCACTTGGGGAAACCAGCGAAAGAAATGGGGTTCTCCAGAGATCTAAACAGCCTTAATGGACCCACACCTCCCAACAAGACAATCAAACATGGACAATGTAAACACAACTGAAATCTGACAGAGGATGTGAAAAAGGACATTGCATTGGATACACAAACAGAGAACACCCATTGACAAGAACACTACACAAGCAGCCAAAGATGTTAAGGAGCAAAAATTATTATTCATTTTAATCATAGAGTTTGTTAACAAAATGCAATATTTCTAATCAGAAATATGTAATATATGGTACATACACTCACCGGCCACTTTATTAGGTACACCTGTCCAACTGCTCGTTAACACTTAATTTCTAATCAGCCAATCACATGGCAGCAACTTAGTGCATTTAGGCATGTAGACCTGGTCAAGACAATCTCCTGCAGTTCAAACCGAGCATCAGTATGGGGAAGAAAGGTGATTTGAGTGACTTTGAACGTGGCATGGTTGTTGGTGCCAGAAGGGCTGGTCTGAGTATTTCAGAAACTGCTGATCTACTGGGATTTTCACGCACAACCATCTCTAGGGTTTACAGAGAATGGTCCGAAAAAGAAAAAATATCCAGTGAGTGGCAGTTCTGTGGGCGGAAATGCCTTGTTGATGCCAGAGGTCAGAGGAGAATGGCCAGACTGGTTTGAGCTGATAGAAAGGCAACAGTGACTCAAATAACCACCCGTTACAACCAAGGTAGGCAGAAGAGCATCTCTGAACACACAGTACGTCAAACTTTGAGGCAGATGGGCTACAGCAGCAGAAGACCACGCCGGGTGCCACTCCTTTCAGCTAAGAACAGGAAACTGAGGCTACAATTTTCACAAGCTCAACGAAATTGGACAATAGAAGATTGGAAAAACGTTGCCTGGTCTGATGAGTCTCGATTTTTGCTGCGACATTCGGATGGTAGGGTCAGAATTTGGCATCAACAACATGAAAGCATGGATCCATCCTGCCTTGTATCAACGGTTCAGGCTGGTGGTGGTGGTGTCATGGTGTGGGGAATATTTTCTTGGCACTCTTTGGGCCCCTTGGTACCAATTGAGCATCGTTGCAACGCCACAGCCTACCTGAGTATTGTTGCTGACCATGTCCATCCCTTTATGACCACAATGTACCCAACTTCTGATGGCTACTTTCAGCAGGATAATGCGCCATGTCATAAAGCTGGAATCATCTCTGAACTCATTGTCATGTTCAAGAAACCAGTCTCTGTACTCAAATGGCCTCCACAGTCACCAGATCTCAATCCAATAGAGCATCTTTGGGATGTGGTGGAACGGGAGATTCGCATCATGGATGTGCAGCCGACAAATCTGCGGCAACTGTGTGATGCCATCATGTCAATATGGACCAAGCTCTCTGAGGAATGCTTCCAGCACCTTGTTGAATCTATGCCACGAAGAATTGAGGCAGTTCTGAAGGCAAAAGGGGGTCCAACCCGTTACTAGCATGGTGTACCTAATAAAGTGGCCGGTGAGTGTATATTAGCAGTACTTAAGTCTCTCTTTCCATTGAGATTATTTTATTTTGTGGATTTTTTTCTCCAATTAGATCTGTCATTCAGATAATCAAATACACCCTAATTTTGCATGGTGATCACATCAACATATATCAGATATTTTTTAAAAGAGAAATGTTGAAAAATGGCCCAATCTAAAATATAATGTAATTTAAATGGTAATGGTAAGTGTTGAAAGCCCATTTGAGCTGTTTTTTTTACATTTTTATCAAATTAATAACAACAAGATTGACATTATGGTAACAGGGCTGACAAGAGTAAAAGTAATAGGACATTCAATAACTGGTTCTCCACCGGTGTGTCAATCTATCGATCCAAATATAACTATTAGCTCAATAATGTTCACTTTATGACCTAAAAATGTTTTAATTTTAAAAGGTTAACCTCTAAAGAGAGTACAACGAGGGTAAACACTGTTCTGTCATCCCGGTTACGAACATGTCAAATCCTGTTACTGTAGAAAGGTAACAGGGTTGACCATTTTAAGCTAATCTGCCTGTAGCTAGCTTCAATAAGTGCTAGCTAAAGTGCAAGCAAGGTATTTTGAAAGGTAATTACTTGTAGATATTGATTATATTTTGAGAAATAGAAAGTTGTTTTGGTTTATATGTTAAAAAGTGGTAACAGGGTTGATGTTGTTGTATGCTTATCCCCCCTGGATAAACCTTGAAAAAACATCAAAAATAGCACATCAGAGATAAGAGAAACTTAATTGTCACTTAGCTGTTAGCATCCTGGCTCAATCTCCTGTCAATCGTGTCAAATCTGGAATGTACTATTATTTTTTTAGGGTTTTTTTGGTAGGGTAACAGGGTTGACATAAAATCAGGGGATGCCGATAAATTGGTAAATATCTAGAATGACTAATATTTATTATTATTATTATTATTATTATTAAAAAACACTTTAACATCAAGATCATGTGAAAATTTTAACATTTTGCCACCATTTTACAAATTAAAAGTCCTGTTTACGTACAGCAATAGTAGTGAGGGACAGGCCAAAAACCTCACCCTCACACAGAAAGTGTAAACTGTCATAATGAAAACATGACAAAGCCATTTGACTGTTTTGTTCATTAACAATGATGTTGGGACTAATTATTTTGATGACACAGACAGTTTCATTGACAAGAATACTTGCTTTTGAGGAATCATCTACTCACTTTGAGCAAGTGACGTGCTTTTGCAGGTTATCCACTAGGTTTTGCAGTTTGCACTAATTGTTCTGAGAAATGTATCTACAGTTTTTCCTCAGTTGCTTTGGCGCATTTCTCACTATTAACATTTGCACAACAGTGATGATCTGTTCTGGGCTCTGGGCCAAAGTAGTGTGAGGAGTTTCAGGGTGAGTAAAAAAGGTCATCAAACACAGTAGAAACTCAATAAGTGCTGATTTGACACAGGTCTATATAAGCAGGGTATTCTTGCACCACCACCTTTTCCACAACCATGGCATACCTGTTTCATTGATGAGGAACCTGTTAAAATGCATCAAATAACCAAGACCTCAAGACTATTTTACCTATTAAAACATTACAAATTAAATAGACAATCATTGCAGTTACGAGTTATTCCTAATCAGTGTTCAAACACATTCTCTCTGAAAATGTAAATTTTCAGACATATGTGCGTGTGTATGCATAGGCTAAGTGATTCATTAAAAAAAGAAAAACAATTACTTACGCATTCAAACGGTCAGTAATGCTTTGCCAGGCAGCGTCTCTGGCTTTGTTAACTGCAACCGTGTTGCCCTTAATTTGCTAGAATTAGTGTCTCTGAAAAACAGCTGAACCTCATCAGCTGAACCAGTTGCAACTAAGATTAAAGTGGCCGCTTGTTCAAGCCATGCTTACCTGTGATTGCCCAGCCTCCTTCAGCCAGCCTTGTGGAATACCCCGGGATATGTTAGTTATCCTGGCTGAATTTAGCCTCAAGTTGGTTACATGAAAGCAGGTCAAACTTGGCCAGGTCAAGTTACTATGGTGATTCATTCTCTGCTCCAGAACAGGCTGGTTTGATGAATATGTGAATTGTTGCAGTTACTGAGATTATAAAAAATGTCTGACCAAGTTGCAAAGGTAGTTATAATAAAGTCTGTGATGAGGGCAATATACTGTATATAGGTCCAACTCCCGTTCACCTGTTCCTCTTCATGATGTATGCCTTTTTTTTGGAGGATGTATTGGGTGAGGAAGCCCTAATCCTCAGGGGAGCATTTAGGCGTGAAAGGTCAGACCCATTGGCCTTAGGAGATAAGTATCTCATTGAGAGGTATAGGTTCTCAGGTAATGGAGGATACATCACCAGACAGCACGAAACCATGCCCTCACTGCACCACAGATGGTCTGTGTTACACTGAGGTGTAACACAGACCCAACCTCTGCCATGCTGCCAACACTCTCACACCAGGGGCCTCATGTATCAACGCTTGCGGCGCAAGAAAACCTTGCGTACGCCAAAATCGGCGCACACGTCCAGATTTATCATCGCGAAACGAGCGTCGGTTCCAGCGCTAATCAACGCAAAGTCAGGAGGTGGTGTAGAAATTGGCGTTGAGCTGGATATTTGCGTTGCCTGTGATTCGCACTTTGGCGACGCTGTGTGGCGGTGTTTGGTGACTCACTATGTGACAAGCGTGCACCACATCCCCGTGGCCGGGCAGCACGTCGCCCCACATGACGAACCAGCAGCAGACGGAGGGATGCGAGCTGATCCCTGCCGGGCCGCCGTCCTCGCGCGGGAGAATCTCATCGCCACAGTGTGAATGGGTAAGAAGTGAATACACAGTTCAATGAGCCGAATTAATTTATTTTCTCCACCAGACGCTCGAGGAAATTTACGAGCCGGTCCAGCCGCTCGTTGATCCCCGCGATCCCCCTGATGATTTCTTCCTGCGATTGCAGGACCCCCTCCGCGAGGACCCTTCCACTGCGTCCGGGTGGTCCAGCGGAAGCGCCGCGGCTGGTGGACGCTCCACCGCTTGTCGGTGCGCTGATGCTGATGCTGATGCTGGTGCTGGGGCCGGGGGCCGGGGTGGCCCGAATGCCGCTGGTCCTGGCCGACGACTCCGAGCCGGCGGACGGGCTGCCGCGGGCCGGGGTTCCGCAAGCCGGCGACACGGCCGACACATTGATTTCTGTGACACAATAAAAATATTAGTTCATTTCAATTCCTGCTTCTGTGTATCTGTTGCGTTTACATCTCTCTCCACGGTATCATAGGTAATGTAATCCAGTATTTAGAGGTCAGTTATGCACATTACAGTTGTTTATTGCATAAAAAGTTATCGAAAAATGAAGTTAAGGGTGAAGTATAAATCACGTCTAAAAATAGACTGAATCCCGATGTTGAAATGAAGTATAAACTTAGACTAGACGTCTAATATACGTCTTTTGCTCAGTGGGATGACAAAGCATGTGGACATTTGTGTGACACGCCACTTACCCTATAATAATAATCGCCACCACCCGCTGCTCAAACGGTGTTAGGGCCTCCTCCCCCGGACCCCCACCTGTCTGGCCGGTACTCCTCCGGAGGGCAGCTGTACGCCGCTTGACCTCCACCTTGAGGTCCGACCACTTTTTTTTAATCTCCGCGGGGGTGCGTGTCTCGGAACCCACCGCATTCACCCTCTCGCAAACTTTCTCCCACTCCAAGCGTTTTTGTTTTGCACTGACGCCACTGGACAGGCTGCCAAACAAAACACACTGTCGCTCCTCCACCTCCGCCACCAGCACCTCCACCTCGCACGCCGTAAATGTAGTTTTTCTTGTCATTTTGTCTGCGTGTGAGGACAGGGAGACCCTATTTAAATAAATCTGCATATTTATAGGAGGGCGTAACGGGGACGGGCCCAGTCACTCCGACATCTGCGCTCAATTCCACGCTGATTGGGATTTATCAAGGAAACACACGTTGATTTCGGCGCCCGCACACATTGATACATACGGATTTTTTTCAGCGTGACGGACCTTGCGTGCGCTCGTTTCTGGTATGAGTTCCACGCAAGTATTGATACATGAGGCCCCAGATCACTCGCCTGCCTCCATATTACTCACTCTCACCTCAGCGCCTTCCCACACCCCGGACCTTGGATTGCCTCGCTCCCATCACCGCCACAAACAATAAACCTTTCAAAACTTCCTCTGCCTCTGGTCGTCTCTTGGGTTCAGCTCAAAAAACACTGATTTAGATGGACATGGTATGACTTCTGGAGTCCATTGATATGGTTTCCTCATCCAGAGGTGCAGTCCGCAGCTGCAGATGTCCCTTCCCCCTGCCATATACATACACATACACAGTGCCGTGAAAAAGTATCCATACACATTGAACTTTTTCACATTTTGTCACTCTACAGCCACAAACTTAAGTATTTTACTGAGGATTATTTTGTCACAGACAAACGCAAAGTAGCACATAATTGTGAAGTGGAACAATAATGATTCATGGTTTTCAATAATTTAAACAAATAAAAATCTGAAAAGTGTGGTGTGCATTTGTATTCAGCCCCCCTGTGTCAATACCCTGTAGAGCCACCTTTCGCTGCAATTGCAACTGCAAGTCTGAGCTGTGGATTTCTGCAGCTCTTTCAGAGTGACCATGGGCCTCTTGGCTGCTTCTCTCACCAGTGCTCTCCTTGGTCTCGGTCTGTTAGTTTAGGTGGACAGCCATGTCTTCCATTTTTGGATGATGGCTTGAACAGTGCTCCTTGAGATGTTCAAAGCTTTGGATATTTGTTTATAACCTAACCCTGTTTTAAACCTCTGCACAACTTTTTCCTCAACCTGTCTGGTGAGTTCCTTAGTTTTAATGATGCTCTTTGTTGACTAGTGTTCTCTAACAAAGCACTGAGGCCTTCACTGAACAGTTGTATTTATGCTGATACTAAATTACACACAGGTGAACTCTATTAACTTATTAGTAGGCTGTATTGGGACTGAGGAAAAAGTGCTCAGAAAGTAAATCTCGTCAACAGAAACTGTGATTCATAAAATAGCTCTATTGATGGTAAGTACTAAAAAAAAATATCTACTCATGCCATCTTGTCGATTTTTAGTAATCAGTGTTACGGTGTTGAACTTTTTCCTTTCTCCAGCGTAGTGATACTTCCACACGCGCAATCGAATATGCAGAGGGTGAAGCGATTTTTGTCACATGGACCAATAGGAGCAGAGTCTCGTTGCCATAGTATCAGAAATACACAAACATGGTGACAAGTGCATCTAGCAGTGAGACAAGCGAAGAGGAAGAAAAGAACAGGAAAAACAGATACAAATGTGCATCACACATTATTACTGCATTAATTGAATGAAATATTTTCCTGTTGACATGACGGAATTCATTGTGTGATAATGCTTTTCTTACAATGTGGCTGCAACCTATGGCTTCAATTATGTTTGGGAATCTGGAGATGGCGTGAAATCCTCCTTTTTATTTCGGCTTGTTGGTGATGTGTATATGGGAACTATTTGTAAGTTGAGGCCAGAGGAATTATTGGATCCAACACTGCCGGCATAATTCTGCTCAGTGTTGGCTGTGAAATGCCCAGTAGCGGTTCTAGGCACGGGCGAACAGGGCAGCCGCCCGGGGCGGCATTTGTGTCATGACTCATGTGGGGGGCGGCACGAGCACTTCCAAAAAAATAAAATAAAAGATAATAATAATAAATCTTAACCGCAAAGCGGTTTTGTATTAACTCTTGTCATAGAGTCTTGAAAAAAGGCAAAGAAATGTTTACAATTTCAATTTATTCCTAAAATTTTGGAGTGTGAGGGCGAAAACCTGTCAGGCAGCTGTCGTTCCATTAGTATCCATCAGACAATCTAGACAGGAAAAAGTCACTCACGGTCCCTCTGCCCTAGGCGACCACCTATTGTACTCCAATCCAATTGAAAGGTAAAGGTTAGACTTTATGTGGAAATAATGTTTGGCGCAAATATTCTTGGGAATCTCAGAAATAAAATTTAAATTATCCACAGTCAAGCTGGTCTTCCCATCGGACCTTCCGTGGACCTATCCCTGCCTAACACCACTGATCCTACAACGAGAAAACAAAGAAAATACCTTAGATCCCAATACATTCACTTTACAACTTAAGCTATGAATCATTAACCCCCCTTTCATACTTTCCATTCTTCCTATGCTGTTTGGTATTTGCATGACCATTAAAATACAACACAGAGAGATAAATTGACATTCATATCCCAGATTATCCATTAAGTTTGTCGGTAACAGGGTTGACAAGATTATGAAAACAGCCAGGAGAAAAACAGTTATAAAATATGAAATAACACAGCCTGAGATGGCACAATATAATTTTCCATTTCAAACATTTGATTTCTTGGTACTTAACAATTAAATATATTTTAAATTTTCTAAGTTTTAAGCTGAAGAGGCACCGATTTTATGGAATGACCCATGTATAAATTGGGATCAACCCCTCTGATTCATTTAGTCAAGTTTGTGTTTTTTTCTCATCCTGAAAAATCAACAATTCCTGTTCTGCCATGGATCTTGCAATGAGTACGTGAGTATCTACAGCATCTTCATCATACATTTTTTTCAAACATATCTTAGTCACCTTATATTATCATGTCTATCTGTTTTTAAAGCTGGATGTGACAGACTGAAGGTAAATAAGCTGAGTAGAAAGTACAGATGGAAAGACAAACTGTATTAAAAACAGGTATGCAAGTCTGTCTATTACTAACTACAATAGTATTTGTTATTTAGTAAACACCTAATTAACCACCTAAATATTGTAGGTACCCCACGGGTGCAAACTACTTAGCAGGGGCATACCCGATCACCATGGAAGATGACGATGATGATTTTCAAGGTTTGTCTCAAGATATTCGTTTACAATACCACAGGTGCGGAGCATGCAAAATTGTTTTATACCCTTTCTGTGTTTTCTATTGTTTTAATCTCAAGTGGCAAAGGTGAGCAAGCAGCAGCAGCAAAAGCGCAAATCAATACAAAGACACCACAGCCATATAGGTATGTTTAATGTGTACATAATGTGTGTTAATATTTGAGTAAACAAAACAACTAACTTTGCTGTACAGCTGCATCAATTTTGTCAATCAAAAGGTTGCCTTCGGATAATGATAAGCAGACAGACACCAGTGGCCTTCACCCTGCGCCAGAGGTCCTGCCTGAAAAGGAATCTTCCCAAACGACAGTTTTGATTACGGTGTTCCTGCAGTGGCTAGCAGTCAATCACATGTAAATAGCATGGTCGACAATGCTCAGGATTATCAAAATTTAATTGACAGGGCAGGTGGGGATTATTTAAACACAATACCTACATTTCTGTGTAGTGAAGGGGAGGGTGTTTTAGAAAGCGTTGATCTCAACATAGCCGAATCGGACCTGTCGAATTAAATCGTCTTTGTTTATAGTTTTCTAAATCGCAGCCTTGTGTGGTATCAGATAACTCTGTGGCAGCAGGATTCAGCAGGCCACACAGGCCTCAGCTGTGTGTATTGAGGACTGTGGGTCATTCCAAGAACCAAGAATCTCCACTTACATCACAGATTTTGATGAAACTTGGTGGAGTGATTGGCCTTCATGAGAAACTGTCAGAACTCAAATATTTTTGTTCAAAGCCATCTAATCTGTGAGATAGGGGCTAATGAATTTTTGGCTGGTTAGCAGTAAACATGACACCTCATGAGCTGATTACAGGTAGACAGGACACAGTGCAACCAAGAGCCAAGGAGTTCATGAAGGTGTTGGAGGAAGCGGTTCAACAAACGCCGCCAAGGACCATTTGAAGTTGTCCAGGTTAATGGATCTGAAACGTGGTATCATTTGTCACATTGCATCAAAGCATCAGGAAAAGGAGGAGATGTGTGATGTTTTGTTTCTGTACGCTGGAGCTAACTTTTGCTAAAGCTATGATTCTTAGATGGGTTGGAGTGGTACTGCCAGGAGATAATGTGCAAATGCCACTACTACATAGTGATGACCAAGACAAAGAGGAAGTGGGGCTCGAAGGAGTATTCATTGAACAATATCCTTTTTGATTATTTACTTTTTCTCTTATATTCTTATACTATCTTATACTCTTATTTTTAAATGTTGGTGTAGGGTTTATTTTCTTTATTTGTATTAAGTATATTTTACATTTTGTTGGCATAAATAGGGGAATATTACTTGGGGGGGGAAATA